GAAAAGCCTGGCTGTTTGTGTCAAGGAAAAATAACTTCTCCCTCTGGGCAATCCGATGGCTCCTCCAGTGCTACGTGCCGGAGAATAAATAGGGAGAGGGAGAAAACAGAAGGAAAGGTACTGGTGCTGATGCACCTGCAGGGTGCTGCAAGAGAAGGTCCAGGCAGGAGGGCTGTGGACACTGGGACGCATGTCCCTTCCCTTAGGGCTGGAGTAGGAAGGTGCCAGGATGAAGGCAGAGAGAGCTGGAGTCAATACAGAGTTGCTCCATTGTCATCCCACTTGGCCAAAGCTAAGGGGTGGCTTCTCCCTGCCCCACAGGCACCACCTGGATGAAAATCAGCCTTCAATAAATCATTGCTCAGCTCTCCCAGCCTGTGGGTTTGGGACAGGGAGTCCCTCTGAGGTGGGAGCTGAGGACACCAGCACCAACTGCTCTGTCTCCAGGTCTAGGCTCAGCTCCGTGCCCATCTCTGCTCTCCAGGGAGACTTTGAAAGAGGGTTACAGGTGGAAACGCTGCATCTGGCAACCCAGCCAGCCAAGGAGGATGGAGACGTTGCACAGTGGGTACGGAGTGAATAGGACAAATAGGGAATCTTCTCATGGGGACAAATGTCCATCCTTCTCCAAGAAGTTAGTAAAACTCAATGCTAGCTGGAGTCATCTCATTTATTTTTGAAGCACCTGCAGTAGTCTTGGGTCTGTCCACAGAGCCCAAGCCAAAAATCTTCCTGATGCCTGGAAGCTGGCACATGTTCAGGGATATCTCTGGAGAAGGATGATCCCAGAGACTTATGAGGTCCCCACACTCCCCTTCATGTACTCATCATGGAACACAGGTCCTGGAGGACTCATCACCCTCAGCCTGGCCCCCTAAGAGTGGAGCCCATGGGCCTAAGTTAACACTTTGAAGTGTGGATGTGCATTATGTTTCTAGGCGCATACTTGGGTCCATGATACTCCTCATGGGACTAAAACTGGCCTTCCTTCATGTACTCATCATGGAACACAGGTCTGGAGGACTCATCACCCTCAGCCTGGCCTCTAAGAGTGGAGCCCATGGGCCTAAGTTAACACTTTGGAGCGTGGATGCGCATGATGTTTCTAGGTGCATACTAGGTCCATGCTACTCCTCATGGGACTAAAACTGGCCTTAGTGGCAGGATAAGCAGCTGCCGGGCAAAAAGTAAGGAGCAAAGGATTAAATGTTTGTAAAATGCAAGCAAGAGCTTTCCTCCTTTGCATGAGAGGACATGGAGAGACCGACTCATCATGCTACAATTCCTCGGTGAAAAACTTGCAGGCTCTTCCACTTTCAGCGTATTTGAGCATGGTAGTGCTCTCCAGGATTTGAGAAATCCATTTCTGCACTCATCATTAGGGCTACCCAGAAGACTACAGGCCAGGAACCACTTTTTGTCTTTGCAAGCCACGGATCCTGAGTTGAGATGTATCTACAAGATCTCAGGGTGTCACAAGAGTCAGGGTGAGACCCCACCACAGAGATGTTACCCAAGGCAATGGTTCTCTGAGTCTGTTGAGGTCACTGATTGTTTCATTTTTCACATCAAAGGAGAAAAATCTGAAAATAGAGAAGATCTGAGAAACTCTTGTCCAGTGTGTCTTGCGAGAGAGGACATCCTCGGGGCCTCCCAGCCCTGTTTGCTTCCATTTCAATGGAGTAGGGAGAGCCTGGGGTCATGTTCTCCACCCTGTGGGGCAGAAAGAAGAACCAGAGAGACCTCGGAAAGAAATAAGGGGAGAGGAGAGCGCCCTTCTCTTCCTCCGCAGCTTGGGCATCCAGTGTGTCCCAGGGATGGAAGAGGGGCCTTTACATCACACAGGGGGAATTAGGGGTTAACAAAGACCATGCCAGGGACATGACCTGTGCCTCCCATCAGCTCTCCCATGTCCTTTGTGCTCTTTGCTCCGCAAAAAAACCTCCCCCAGCTCCCCAGCCAGCCTGGACCCTCCCAGGCTCCCCGGGCCCAAGATGTTGTTCTTTGCCTTTGATTTCCAGGAGCTCCCGTGCCTGCTGCCGCTTGGCCCCCGGAGCTTCGCAAGGAACAAAACATCAGAAGCCCGGGCTGGCGGCTCAGGAAGGAAAGGAAACCACGTGCTGGGCTGAGTCACGATCCCACTGGCTCCTTGTCCCGGTATCCCAGCAAACAAGGAGACTGCTGGCACCGGCAGCAAGAGACAGCGGGTCCCGGAGGGAAGGCGGGTTGGATTCCCCAGCCAGCTTTTTGGGGGACTGCTCCTGATCCCTGATTTTAGGGACTATTCTTGATCTAAGGGACTGCTCCTGTTCTTGGGGATTTCTATTTTCTCGTACATCACATGGTAGCACAACGGTTATCACAACTCAAGCCCCTCCTGAGGAGAAAATAAAAAAGAGATGTAGTTTGTTGCTGAGCCCAGGAGCACCATGGCCCAGAACAGGGATATTCCGTGCTCTACTCTTCTCATTTACCAGAGGACTGCTGTGATGTATATACTAGAGATACATCAGGCCAGACCTAAGGCCAGGACAGCCCATCACTGCTTCTGATAGGGGCAAGGAAGGAACGCCTGAAGATGAGCATGAGAATGGGGCAAAGGTGCGATCCACTCCAGAAATGCCCCCATTTTGGAGAGTTTTCAGCTCAGACTTTGATGCAGAAGGGAGATCTCTGTGTTGGACCACCTCCAGTGGGACCTTCCTTTGCACATTTCCTTCATTGTGGGTTCAGAATTTGGGTGCCCATCAGATCCACACTCTATGGGAAGAACCAACTCCTTCTGTTGACTTGTTCCTCCTGTTTGCCAGGTTCCCTTGGCACCTTTTTTTCCTCAGGTTACCTGATTCCCTACTTATCTTCTCCAAACTACTTATGATTTTTCAGACATAAATCACATCCCACCTCGTTAGCCATCTCTTTTCCAGTCTGAAGAGCTCCAATCTTCCTCTCTAGGTGCCTGTTTAGAAGCACCAAGGCTGGATTTGTTCATTATTCACTCCAGGAACAGTTGTCGAGCACTGCAGGACGGTATTGCAAGGGGGACTTACTTAGTATTATCAAGTTTCAACAGCTTTAAACTATCTTTATTTAGGGGCATAGTGGGTAGAGGAGACACTGAGGGACAGTGGGTGGTGCCTAGGGAATGAGAGACAAGTATTTGGGTGGCCAGGGACAGGAGCAGGACTAGCTGGTGAAAGAGGCTGAGGAAACAGCCCAGAAAGGAGAGGGTGGATATGAGCAATCTTGATCTGGCAATGAAGATTAGGGCTGGGACACTGTTTGAAGGGACACAGCATGATCGAAAGGAAACATACTGGATGAGGAGGAAGATAGATTAAAAAAAAGGACTGGACTAGAGGAAAGGACCTTTAGGAGTGGAGACTAGCCTGAGAAAGGGAAAACAGTGAGATCGGGATCTACTGGACTATGCTGGAGTGACAGACCTTGTAATATGAACCAGGACTGTTAATGTTCCAGGAAAAGGTGGAATGGGGACAGATTGCACAGGATGGAGAAGGGGTGGGGATGCCCATGAGAGGCCAGGGCAGAAGAGCGGGGTCCCTTCAGATCGGGCTCAGGGAGAAACCAACCTTCTACTACTGCGCAGGTAGCATGACCATCTCCAAGGCCCTGATAGCTCATGTAGATGCATCTATGCTGGTAAAGAACCAGTCCAGGACCTCTTCTCTAAGCCTGAGCCCAGCTAGTCCATCCTTAATGTTAAACTCTCAGCTTCCAAAAGATGACATCATCCAGAGTGCCAACTGGGAATGACTGATTGAACCAAACCCAGAGCTTGGTTCGGCCTGGATCGAAATCATGCTAGGGAGTCTACTAAAAAGAAACGAGGATGATCATAGAGGAGTGTGTGCAGAGGAGATCCTGGCCTATTCATTTATGAGTACGAATGCAGACTGGGGCCATTGGATAATGTTGCAGGACAGGATTTGTGTGGATTTGTCTGCTAGGTTCTTTATAACCTTAGACAACCTTCCCACCTCTCTGCCCCCACACGCACGATAGCTAGAGAAGCATGTTACAGTTGCACAGTTGAGCGCTCCAGTATTAGGAAATGCCAGACTCGAGCATGTTTGTGCAACCTCCCTGCTCCTTCCAGGTGCCAAGAGAGCTGGAGTTGCATGAGATGCCGTGATGTGATCATGCAGCGAATGGCATTCATTGCACAGCCACATTGCACGATCATGTGTGAACTCTTTTTTTCCCACCTTTCCCCAGGACAATTGCTCCTGTTTTCAGCTCCCATTTCATTACAATTTGATGACCTTAAGACACGCCAATGGCTCCTTGTCCCTGTGGCAGCTGAGAGTCAGGAGGAGATGGAGGTAACCTGCTTGTGCCTTTTCAACAACCTGGAGTTTGGGTGTGACACCAGTGACTGGAATATGTCCAGAAGTTCATCATAAATTGAGGAATAACAAGTCCCTCATGAATCTTTCACATTTGGGCCTCCAAATACACACAGAGCAATCCCCAGTGAGAACTGCTGCTGCTTCTTGCCTTGTTGACAAATGCTAGAAGTGAGGCCCGGAGCTTGAAAAAAGTCTCTCCCATCAGTAAGATGCTGCTGCCAGGTTCCCCCTGTCCATTCACTGCAACGCTGCTGTTGAGTGAAGACAGGGAGGCACCGTATTTCCAAACTGGGATCTCTGGGGCTGCCTTGTGTTGGACACCATAGGATGTTGAAGAGGGCTTGTCCTTCTCTGTTACTAGTTAGGGGTCACCTTGGCCATTGCCTGGAGAGGTGCTGAGCTATTCAATTTTGGATAACTGTCCTCCCTTCCACCTTCAGTCTCCACCAAGCTTTATCTGCTGTATCGATTTTCTTTTAGCTGTTTAAACTTTATTTAATCTAGTGAGAAAAACAGCAGCAGTATGTGGTGTCACAAAGGTCAAGTCAGAGACCGAAAAAGGATAAATCATGACCACAGAGTATTTCTGGAGAATTCCCACCAGGTGCCACACATGCCAAAACATCCTTATTTCTTCTTTTTTCTTTCTCGAGGTTTAGGTGCCTTCTTGGTTTGGACATCGGGGACAAGAGGTGGAAGATTAGAAACAGGCGGTTTCAAGGCTAACATCTTCTTTTGGAGTCTCAGCTCCAGGATTTCAAAGGTGGCCTGGATCTCAGCCTGGAAGATCTCACGTGTGGTTTCTGCTTCGACTTTGATCACCTCCTCCACTAAGGACTCCAATCTCTAACGAAGCAAACAGAAACACAGAAAAGTTGGGATTTCTCCTTTTAGAGTTGCTTCTTACTGGCAAACTGGAGTGAATCCAGCTTACCAGAATGGATAATCCTGAAACACATGGTGTGTAAAGAGAGTCTGAAAGAGCTGTGTTTGCTTAGTTTGGAGAAGACAAGGCTTAGGTACCTAAGGGAGGCTGTAGAGAGGACAGAGGCAGTATCTTCCTAGAGATGCACAAAAATAAAATAAAATACAACGGACACAAGTTGTTGCAAACGAAATTCTGGAAGTAGTTGAGCATGTGGACAAGGTTCCAGAGTGACCATAGATCTCCATCTCTGGAGGTTATTGAAAATTCAACTCAGCAAGGTCCTTCTCTAGCAACCCGCTCTTGTTGGCCTTGCTTTAATCAAGGGGTGGGGGTTGGACTAGAGATCTCCAGAAGTCCCTTCCAAATTGAATTATCCTAAAATCCTCCTTTGTAAAGCCTCCAACTCTCTTCTCTCCTAGCATGTGGCACTCAGCCCCTGGATGCCTAGAGGAAGGGAATCCTTTCTGTAATGGGTCCTGTGCAGAAGAACACTATGACGACTGTGCAATGTCTCTGTCCCTTTGTGACCTCATATACAGGGTTGAGTGGGAGTCACAGGTCCAGCTTCATGCAATATCTTGCCACAGAATGATTAAGGTAGGAAGTGATTTACGGGATCCCATATGGGATGGGAACAAATCCATGATGGGTCTTCTTTCAAGGCAGAGGCTTGTCTTTGAGGAAGAAAGAAATGGAAACTAGTTGCATGAATATCATGAAGTTGAATGGTCCTTCCCAAACCAACATTGCATTACAAACAAGCCTTTCCCTGCTGACTCCAGAGGAAGGAGGATGAGAAAACCATCAAACCAGACCACCACCATCTTGCATGCTTTCCTTCCCCAACCTCCTGAAAGCTCCCAAAGCGACTCAGAGAAAGTTTCTTTTTCAATGTATGGGACTGACACGTAAGGGACTTGCTGTAATTAAAAAGCCCATTAGAGCTTCCTGGTTGTTCTTCCCTGCTGCTTTCCCGAGTTCAAAAGGTGATTTAGGATGACATGCTCCGCTCTACATGAACTTGCCAGCTACTGCCAGCAGCATGACGAGGCGCCCCTTCATTGTACATTAATTCCACTAGGCATACGGCCCAACAATCAAAGTATCTCATTAAAGTTTAATTAAATTTCCCAAGTGATTTGCTCTCAGGCTGAGAACCTGTAAAGCAAGCTGAAGCAGGTCTCTGTGTGTATGTGCGTGTGTGTATGAACATCCCTCTCTCTTTTTTTTTTTTGATTTTCTATCTTTTCTTAGTTTTTTTCTTTTTTTTCAAATGATTTTCAATACTTCATGGCTGGGACATGAATTAGAAACAGAATGCGCAATATAGTCCAGACTGCATAAAAAAAAGATAAAATCCTACAGATTTTATGCACCCACTGATCACCGATATCACTGTCCTCCTGGAAGAACAGATGGATCTTTCACCACAGTCTCTTTGAGGGACATAAGCAGGAGTCGCTCTGTTGAGGAAGTAGAGTATTCCACCCTTGGAATAGTTTCTGCAGTCAAAGCTTGGGAAGATTAAAAAAAAAAAAAAAAAGGAAAGGAAAAAACTAGAGGCAATCCCTACTCAACAGCATTTCATGGCAAAAGAAAGAGATTTCTATATATCAAAGTTAAGTCCCACTGGGCATGTCTCATCCTCTCCCTCATCCTCATGCATGAAATATTGGTAAACAAGCAGATATAAAGGTCAAGTGATTCGCCCCAAGTCTAGAGAGTGAATCGGTGGCAGAGTCTTGGAGCCACCTTGAACCTCTTTGGTCTAACAGTGCCTCTCTCAGTAAAGAGTTTTTTACCTCTTTGTCTAGCTTCTCACATGGGTCTTCCACCTTTTTGTACACTTTCTCCAGCATGGTATCCTTCTCCGCCCTCAGTATCTTTTGGAGATGCAACACATCAGTACGTTTGCGGGCCTCAGCCTCCGACAGGGCAGCAATTTGCCGCTGGTGTTTTTCAACCTCTACTTCCACACCAGCCTCCAACGGGAGAGGCTGCGGGGGCACGCAGACCTCCAGGGTTGCATAGCTCTGCTGCACTGCCCTCTTGTTGCACAGCACGAACTGGTAGAGGTGGAAATGCTTGAAGTATGTGTTGAGAAAGTAATCGCACAAGATGCCCGGCTTCAGCGGTCTCAGCTTTGGCTCGCATGCCGAGAGCTTTTCGTGGAAGACTTTGAGGGCCTCGGAGATGGTTAGACCTGGAAAGAGATTAAAATGGCTCCAGAGGCCTGGATTCAACCCAATGAAGGAAGAGAGGCTTTTCCAGGAGCGAGTCTCCTGTTTTAGGGTCTTATTAGCTGTTCATGAGTGGACAACTATTTCCATGGACTCCAGAGGGGAAAAAGGTAGCTATAATCCTAACTTTGAGACTTTATATGTACATAGAGGTGAGTGAGTGCAGGCCAAATGAGGCTTCAAGAGTCTTCAAGAGTTCTACCTGCAACATTTTGGTACTCTCCCTTTGAAAAGATGCAGCTCTTAGTAACTTAACTTCCTCCTCCCCTTTATTATAGTTTATTGTTATTATTAGTAGTTACTATTGTTATTGTTGTTGTGGTTATTACTATTAGTGTTATTTTAATTTCCCACAATTTCTCCCTGGGCTGGGCAGAAGGTGGGAGGTAGCCGTTTCCAAAGAACTGTTAAACCAACCTTATTTAAGGACTCTCCACAACAGCCCAGAAACCTCTGCCTGGAGGCATATGACAAGTAAAGTGGTTGGAAAGTAGTTGGACGTGAATTTTGGTAGCTCAGCATTCACTCCAGGAAACCTCCCTTTACTACTTTGCTGCATGGTATGAAGATGCACCTGAGTCATTATCTTCAGAGGAAGAAAACCTCTCCAAGATGAATCCAGATAATTCCTTACTGGCAGGCTAACCAGGGCCAGAGCCCATGATCTGCTTTGGTGGTGAATTGGCCTAGTCTGGCCAAATAGAGTTAAATCCTCTCCAGAACAAGCTGGTTTCATCTGAACAAGCTACCAGTGTTGTTTCCTGACCCATGGCTGGGGACCTCGTGTCAGTGGGCTCAGACCAAAGCCAAGCCAAGGTCTATGTTAACAACAATGTGAATGATTAAGCTCTCATGGCCAGCCTATGTCTTGACCCTGACAAATAGATGCATCCAGAAGGTCTCTGTTATTTCCTGCTAGCTGGAAGTTACTCTCCAGATTAAAATTCCCTGAAGACAGAAGAAGGAGCCAAAGCTGAGGCCTCATTCAGGGAACTGCAAAGATTTAGAGGCCGAGACATTTCGGATCCCTACAGAGCGATTGTGCGCTGTCATAGCAAAAGTGGAAATTCTCCTGTATTTTTCCTTCAGCTGGAGTGGATGGATAGCAAACAAAAGCAAATACTAAAACACTTACTCATATTGAAATAAGCATGAGCACAAAATCCAGTCACCCCCTCGAAACTTCAAGTGAGGTGGGGATTTCCATGTATTGGATGTGTTTCCAGATATAAAGATAAGAGTACAGCTGGTCAAACATTTTCCATTGATGATTTCCTTGCAGAAAACATCCTTCTAAGCAAGAAAAAAATAACTTAAAAGAAAATTCTAGGTTTAGCTTAGTTCTCCTTAAACACACTTAAAGAGAAAACACATTTTATATAACTAACTTCTTCACTTTTTCTCCTGTTTAATGACTCACATACATAAAGGAAAAAGAAAGTGATGATTGACCCACCAGGGTGAGGTTGTTTGATTTCTTTTTAATTTGTTATTTCTATTAAAAAAGAACTATTCAGAAAGATCCAAACTCTTGCAGAACATTAATAGAAAATGGAAAAACTAATATTTTTTTTCATGGACTATACCTATCTCTTTTCATTAGCTGTAATTAAGAGTTTCTAAGCCAAGTTAAAATTCATTTTAATAATCAGATGTATCAGTTTGGAGGTCAATTTAGTCTTCACATCTTAAAGAGAACAGAATGAAAATACAAAATGCCCAGCTCAGAACCTTTCTTGTTTAGCAAACAGTCTCAACCTTTAAAAAATAAATGAAGCTCCACGAGCTTAATTTTAGAGATAACATCCTGTCAAAATTCCTTTGGAACTGTTTTTACTGTATGTGATGAAGGATATTTATAACTTGGTTTCCTATGGAAATGTGGTTTCTGCAATCTCACTGCTTATCTATGTCTGATGCTCCCTCCCCCCATTACTTTGAAAATTTTTGGCCAGTTTCAATCCAAAACAGGAGTGTGGAAGAAGTTCCGATGATCTGAAGCTCAGACAATCTAAACTGAAAACATCTAGGCAGACAGTTTCTGTCTATGAGGATAGGATCACAGTACGTGCTCAGCTCTACTACTAGACATTAGAGAATTTACGTGGACAAAAACCATGAGCAGTGTGCCTGGACAGCAAGATGAGCTATGGAGTGAGCTCCTCGCAAAATGACATTTGGATGATGCAGAATTACTCAGGACTGGTCAGGCTTCCAGGCCTCAATTCCTGGTCATGCCACAACCTGCTGCACGACTCTGGGCAAATCACAACATCCTTCTCATCCTCATTTCTCAGCCTGTAAAACTGGGGATGCTTTCATCATGGAGTCATCTTACAAGATCAAAGGATTGGGTTATTTGGCAGGGAGAAGGGGAGAACCTGGACCATTTTTATGATCCTAAGTTCAGAAGCAGGATTCAAATTCAATGGAAACACTTAAAAGTAGGTGAGTTGAATCCCATCACTAATCTCTATAGAGCAGACATCAGCTTGGGAAGCAGACTCCCTTTACGTCAAGAGAGAAAAGGGAATTGCTGGGATGGATATCCCAGAAACCGCCTGGGAGTTAAAGACCATACTTAGTTTCTGATCGAAGCATCTTCCAATATTGGAGATTGTTCCTCACACATTCCAGCAGGTCGAGGGAGGGGATCCTGCCCCTCTACTCAGCCCTGGTGAGGCCACATCTGGAGTATTG